AGAAGCTTAAAAATGACCTTTAAATATAGAAAGTGGTCTGTTTTATGGATGTAAACATTTTAAAACCTACTATAGTATTTCAGTATATTTATCTTAATTTATGTCATATACCTTTTGGTGACTTATTTAATCTTATTTTAATCTTACAGTTTTATCTGATAAAAATTTTTCTTTTCTATAGGACTCCCTACTGAGTGTGCTTTTCGTTTGTTTGATATTTTGTATTATAATGGATGATTTGTAAAATGGGTTTGTGGTAACCTGCTCTCAATTTTTTTTCTCACCTAAGCTCAAGGAGTATTCTATGAAACAATTAGACTGTGTGGATGTTGCCATTCATAAAATCTTGGAAAGGGCTTTGTAATTTTTGTATGATAACAAGTGAAAAATCAGAACCTCTCTAAATGCGGTGTGGCATCCTGGAATATATTAGTGGAAAAACTAGGGAAATCTGAATGAAGTCTATAATTTGATTAATAGTAATGTACTTATGTTAATTTTTTAGTTTTGAAAAAATCTGGTTATATAAGATGATAACATTAGTGGAAGATGGGTAAAGGGCATATAGGAACTCTTCATATTTAGTAGAAGTTTAATTCATCAAACGCTTTAAATACATATTCATATGACTGTAATGGTCCTCTAGGTGCCAGGGGTGCAAAGAGGTGTGAGACTGGTCTCTTCATTCCAGTCTTGCAATCTCATTGGCAAGTTAGGTCTTCTTATTCATAAAAAGATGAATAACTGTACTTTTACAAGGCAGCCTGTGCCAGTGAATGATACCGGGAGTCCTGTAAGATAGCAGGCATTTGGAGTGTATGGAGAAGTCTTTGTAGAACAGGTAAAACATGAGCTGAGCTGGGATGGGTGAGTGCAACTTAACTCAGGTAAGTAATGGAGAGATTGTTCTAACAGACAGGAGATGACATGAATTTTGAAAATGAAATTTCCTATAGTGATGCAGGATTGGAATGGAAATGAGCTAATGGAGACTTGTGGTAATCAAAGTATGGGGTGAGAAGGGTTTGACTAGTATGCTGGCAGTAGAAATAAAAGGAATTATTTGAGAATTGACAGGAGTCTGTGCTTACGATAGAGGAGCACAGAAGAAAAACGAATTGATGGCGACTGATATATATCTTGACCCAGTGGAGGTTACTTAGGGGCTTTGTTTTAAACATTTTCATTTTCAGGAAATGTGGACTGCCAAGTAGAACTGTCTGGCAATCAGTTAGACCAGGGATACTGAGCACGGGAGAGGAGCAAAAGGTTTAGGACTCTTCTTTAGTGAGCAAGAGAAGAAAAAGCCAAGAAGGAAATCTAAGGGATGCAGTCAGGGAGGTGAAGAGCTGCCTTGGTGATGGCAGTGCTCCTGAGGCAGTTGGAGAAGAGTGTCAGCAGGGAGGACATGCTGTCTGTGGCTGCAGACTTGTCAGAAAGAAGCTGAAAATCTCAAAATAATTGCTGTCTGAATGGTCATCAGGTTCATGAGAATGGTGGACCTGGAAGCTAGATTACGGGGGATTAGAGAGAAAGGAGAGTGTGTGTGTACCCAGAAGCAGGTTGCTGAGAACTGGAGACAGTAAATCTTTTAAAAGAAGTTTGGCTGTGCAAAGACAAGGATATATATATATATATATATATATATATATATATATATA